GATAAAACCATATGTTTTATGTTTAGAAATTAAGATATTTACTTCTAAATAACTCATGGAACAAAGAAGAAGTCAAAAGGAAAAATAAAAAAAAAAAACATTTGGAATGAGCATATCCAAGTGTGTGGGACACAGCCACAGAGACAAATGTAGCATTAAATACCAAATATAGATAAAAGATGGAAAGTTGAAGAGTTAAGCATTCATTTTAAGTTGGAAAAAGAATAAATCCACTAATTCAACCAATTGGCACTGAGTACTTTGATGTGCTATATGCTCCACAGTGTCCTGTGAATACAGTTGTGAACAAAGCAAGGTAGTGGGGTACACCAAGATGGGAGCCATCACCTGACTTGAGCAAAGGAACAACATGGTGTGACTTGCATCACTAGGACCTGTTGGCTGCTGTTGAGAACACATAGAAGGAGCAGTAGCACAGAGACCACTGAGGAGGTTTGCAATGATATAGCCAAGTGATGACGATGGCTTGGACCAGAGCAGTCATGGTGGATCTAGTGATGTGGTTAGGCTCTGTCTCTATGATTACAGTAAATTTGGCAAGAATTTTCAACGGATTGGATATAGGGTGGAGAGGGATGAGTCAAGGATGACTACAAGGTTTTTGGCCAGAGCCACCAGGAGAATAAAGCTGCTGTTTCCTGAGATGGGGACAGAAGTGGCTCCATTTAAAAGTTCTGTGGTCTGAGTGAGCAGTTTGATAAGTGAGTTGAGAGTTTAGTCGCAAGGGCCAGGCTGGGGACCCATATTTGGTCAGTTCAGGCCAGGAGCTTGGGGGGTGGTGGATCTGTATGGAGCATAGATAAAGAAGTCTTCAGGACTGAGCTGGGGTGTTCTCCCAACTTAAGAGACTGGGAACAAGAGTAGGAGCCAGCTGAGAAGTGGCCAGGAAGCTCGGAGGGTGTGTGATTCTGGAAATCAAATGGAGAGAGTGTTCAAGAAGGTCAGAGTGTTTCCAGAAGAGGAAACCCAGACGGCTAAGAAGATGAAGAGACGTTTGTGTATGGCAACCAAAAATGCTCCAACCGAACTTCATACTGGCACAAAAGTCATATAATTCATGTTAGGAAAGGACATGGGAACAGGCACGGCTGCTTGGAGTGTCCACTGTATGTTCATTTGAGAAGGAATATAGCAGAAAAATGACACCTTAAGATGTAATACACGTCACATGTATCAAGAGAGATTCTGGCTCCACGTAACTGAGAGTCTTACCCCCAATCTTTACCCTAAGTAAAGGTTTTCCTCTTGCTTGAATCTTGCCAGACTTGAAGATTTAAAGGTACATGTTTAAAGCTTCGGGCAGCTATAGATTCTGAATATCTTACACATGGTGGGTGTGGTAACTGTTAGTTGTTTCCAATACGTACTCTCCTGTTAGTCCTTAATACATTGCCCAGCCTCCTTTGTGGATGGCGCATCTATGATTAATTTCTGACCAATTTATACGAGACTCCTGGGAAGGCTAGTTAAAAAGAAGGGAGCATATGCTATTTTATCCTCCTCTGCTGTTGGCTTGAAATGATGGTTGGTGCCCTAGTAGCCGTATAGCCGTATGAACACCAAGAGGCAACCCTGAGGATGGAATCCACATGCTGAGAAAGACAGGAGCTGGTGTCCTGATTACCCCTGAGATGGCTATACCAGAACCTGATGACTCACATTTGATCTTCTTTTATGTGAATGAGGGATACACATCTATGTTTAAACCATTATTATTTTGGAGTTTTATCTGGAGCTAAATATTCTCCTAATTGATCAGGTGGATTCTGAATAGATGTGGGATTGGAGAGAAGTTCATTTTTTCCTTCTCTGCCATTTCTAAGAAGAAAGGTTTCCTAGAGATCCTTTGTGAAATGTCTCTAATTTCTTCACCAGATTGGTGTCTTCCAGAGGCAGTAGTTAAATCTCTACTGAGATTTGTTTTAAATTTTAGAATTTTTTCAATTACTGAAGAGTCAAAGTATGAAATAATTTGGATTAGACTCAGGTGAAGCAGAGTCTGGCAGCAGGCCCAGATTCCTAGCAATATCACATTATATACTTTCTAGTTGGATGTGTCCATAGAGTGATCCAACATGATCTTAGGGCCACCTAATAATCTTGCTGATGGAGAGCCACCTTTTGGTTTGCTAGTGTAGATTCAGCTCTAAGTAAGCAGTTGTGTGAATTCTATTACTAAACGCAGTTAACCTGATGAACAGAAGGACTTTAAGGGTGAGAGGTAACCTGGTGGGCTATAAAATTCTGACTGATCAGGAAGCAGAGCCCTAATGCATGATTTCTCTTCTTCTTAATTTTGTATCTTTTGATTCCTTTGAGTTTGTTGAGGCCCTTTCCTGGTTTAGGAAAAATGAACTGGGCCAACATAGAGTAGCATGTTTAATTAGTATTAGAGAGGGAGGCAGTTTTGTTAAGCCAGGAAGCACCCGGATTTAAAATGCTTGAAACTATTCACTAGATCAGTGTCCTGAAGGGTCAGGCTCACCCGTGCTCTTTGCTGAAGCATGTTTCCTTTCTTTCCAGACCTACAATTTGGGGTCTCTTTTAGCTCAGCAATTCATATTCTCCTGGATGTAATTTTCTTTCTTCTTTTGTTTGAGGATTGAATCCAGGGCCTCATTCCTATGAGACAAGCACCCTACCACTGAGCCACGTCCCCAGCTCTCCTGGATATAATTTTATTTTAACCTGAATATACTTCTGTTTAAATAAGATCTGAGATGGGAATGTCACACTTGGTACCGAAAGGCAAAAATCAAATAGGCTTCAAAAGGGAGAAAAAGGTATTGTCTATGGTTCAAAGGATTCAACCAGAGATAAAATATACACACAAGCATGCATAGAGCTCAAAAATAAATAAATAAAAAATAAATAAAAAATAAATAAATGGATTATTCTAGGTTCTGACTGCTTGTTGGCTTCCTCTCCATATGCATTCCCTATGCCATTCTGTACATAGGATGAACCAGAACCAAGGCGGTACAAATGACCACGATATTTGGCTTCATCAATGTTTTTCAAACAACATTTCTCTCCTTTTGAAAAAAGCCATTCTTGTAAGCAATGGATCAGATCCTGTCTGATGTTGTGGTCCTATCCAGCTCTAACTTTTGAGCAACTTGCTATAACCCACTTTTAAGATTTTTTGCAAAAGAGGTACAGTAGTGAATGCCTGTAACCCCAATGGCTCTGGGGGCTGAGGTAGGAGGATCGTGAGTTCAAAGCCAGCCTCAGCAACTTAGTGAGGCCCTAAGCATCTCAGCAAGACCCTGTCTCAAAATAAAAAGGAATGGGGATGTGGTCAAGTGGTTAAGTGCCCCTAGGTTCAATCCCTAGTATCCCTCCCCTACCTCCCCAAACAAAGATTTTTGCAGCTCTTCATGAGTTACTTCACCTCATAAGTGACAGGAGAAAAACAATCGAAGGATCTCAAAGAAGTCAAGTTCTTCTTTGGGCAAATTAGAGTTGGTCAGGATTTCTGTTCAATTGCCCAAGTCAGTCATGACTTATGAAATGATAACCACTGGATCCCTTTGCAGAGGACCACCCCTGAAATCATTCATAAGAAGTTCTGCAAAGTACTGGATCTCAATTCCTTCCTTCTCATGTTTCTTAAGCTGGATACTAAATGTTGTTATTAGCTCTACAGAGCCATCAAATTAAATTTAAAATTAAACCCCTTGTTCATTCATAAATGTCAGTCCTAGCTGAATTATCTTGAACAAGTCTACATTACATCACAAAAGCTGGTACCAATAGTCAGCATTAGTCCTGTATTCCCTCCTGGCTCTTGCACCCACACCTGGCACCTCGGTGCCCATAGCCACTTAATTACATTTTTGGATAACTTGGCAGATTTTCTTCATCTAGGGTACAAGCCCAAACTTCACAGATCCCTTGACTATGATCTACAGTTGCTGCTGGCACACTGAGGGCACAGGGGAGTCTAGATTCCAAGCAGCAAAATGTTATATTTGATTGCTGAATTGTTTGATAAAATACTTTGTTCTTCATTTGTGTACTTGTGTCTCTGAGCTTGCACTCCTCCTCCTCCTCTTTCTCTTCCTCAAATAGAAGCAGCATCCAGCAGTGGGTGGCAGTGGGTGGCAGTGGAGGTATTGGTGGAGTAGGTGCCCCACAGACACTGCTTGCCCAGCAACTGGGAAAGGGGAGCCAGAGCTCCACCACACCGTAGCTTCTTGCACATCCTCCTAGATGCAATTTTATTTAAAAATAATTTGCTTGTTTCATTGCTACAGAATAAATGCTTACATAAAAAACTAAAACTCAGATGAGTAAAAACAAAACATAAAGCAAAAACATTGACAATCCTGCCTACCATGTTTAAACTGTGTGTACCTTTTCATACCTCTTTGTGGTGTATGTGTGAATTTTAAAAATAAAGGCAGTTAAAGATTTTAATTCGTATAAAAACCATTTAGTGATGAAATAAAGCAAAAACCAGTAGATTTGATTGGTACAGCCAAAGGCCTATTCTTGAAAAAGACTAATGTAACAGATAGATTTTGTTGGTGCCATCTAAGAAAAAACAAAAACAAATGAACAATATTTGTGTTAAGAACAAGTTATAACTAGGCAGGTGGAGATTAAAAAAAAATCGGAGAAGATGCAATAGCTATAAATGTGTAAGATTACTACCAAAGAGCTTCTGGAGAAATGCTTAGTGACTGGGGGACACACATAGGAGAAGTCTATAATGAATAAGGAAATCTTTGCATTTAGTTTGGGCACATTTATCTCCAGATCCAGATCCCAGGTGTAGCCCTTGGGTAGGAGGAGGGTGATAAAGAGAAGGTGGTGACATGGCAGGGAGGGCAAGGATTGGGGACACTTCAGCCACATCAAGAGGGTTGTTCATGTGGAATTAGATGGACATTGACGTGCTCTTTTAATGCTCCTATTTTATTTCACCTTAGAAAGTTCTTATTAGCAGAGAAATTACAGACTGAACTCCTGAATCATTTGCAGCCATTTTTTGTTTATTCCAAACATGTATTTTTGTAAACCTGACATTTCCCAAACAGTGCAAGTGAATTAGAAGTGACTGCGTAGACTTTAATAAAGGAGACATCATACAGAGGAACACCTTCTCACCAAAATTCCTCCACAGAAATGTACATGGATGCCTCAGTAAAGTTCTGTTAAGTGGAGAGAGCGTGGGTGCACTGCCATGCAATTAATCACTCTTAAAGCTTTTTAACTTATGCTGCCAATCACACCGTGCACATTAGAATTAAAAACAAAACACCTTAACAAAATCTGAAATCTAGATCATTGTGCTATAAAGCATTGCACCATATTGGGAAATTTGCTCCTTATCCCTCCCATGTGCTGAAAAGTCAGAAGACATTCTAGAAGGTTCAGTTTGGCCCTATTGGCTCCGTCTCCTCCTTTCAGCTATTGTTGCAGAAAATATTCTCAACTGTGTATATTATTACCCTATAGATCAAAACAAGACCAACTAAAACATCAGTTAAAACTGCAATCGTGGGGCATGCTGAAATAATGCTCACTTCCTGCCTTCTGTCTGCTAAAGGGGCTATTTCTCCCAAATGGCAATTTTTGTTGTTGTTGTTATGCTGGCGATTGAACCTAAGGCCGTGTGCATGTTAGACAAGTGCTCTGCCACTAAGCTACATCCTTAGCCCATTCCCCAAATAAGAATTCTTTGTAGCACCTATACATTCTGGGAAACTGGAACCAGGAAATCAGGACTGGTTTACCAGGTGTATATTTCACAAGTAATCAGGCATAATTGCATTACCTGGCTATAATGCCTCACCCAAAAATAAAAGTCCATGAATACCTTTTAAAAACCCACCATGCTGGGGTTCAACAGGTGGCACACAGCACCTGGGTCATGGGAAGTCCACCATAATTAATTGTGCACGGAAGACAAGCCCCAGGTGTTTTGGGAGTGCCACGGCTTTTCTGTTTCCTGCCAACCTCCTTGTCTTTGCTTCTAGAACAGCAGGCTACACATGACTCTGTGGAAGAGGACTTTCTAAAAGTTTGCCAAATCTCTAAAAACACTGGTGGTGCCAAGAGAGGTTTCCTGAAGCATTGCCAAAGGTTTTCTCAGTGGCAGTGATTCTGAATGTGCCTGTCCATAACCACAAAGCCAATGGACCCTGATCCTTCCTACTAGTGTCTCCTTCATGGATACTTCTTGATGACAGGTCCAGGGCTCACTGTATGAATTGAGCATAGGGGAATCTATTTTTGGAAAAGGGGCATTATCTTACTCAATTTCTCCTAAGTTTTTTTTTTCATATTTAAAAAGCATGTTAGTGCTTCAATAGCTGATTAAAACCTGAAGCAGACTGGAATAATGGTACCCAAGAGAATATGTGAAGATTCCACAATGAACCTATCCATAGAAGCAAGAAGGGTGGAATGGGATACATGGTGGGATTTGGAGAGAATCCTTGGAGAGGCAACGCAGACACACTAGCCAGCCCTGTCTGCTTCCCAACCCCAAGACTAAGGATTAGAGCTATGGGGTTAGAATGGAGCAGCGAACTGTCCAGAACACTTCTTTCTCCATCACTGTGCTAAATGATTACCTCCCGGTCTCTGTAGTCCCACCAGCCACTCAGCAGGATCTGACAAGCAGAGGCACCATCCTTTCCCAGATGGGTCCTTGGGTGGATTCCAGTATTTGCTCCTGGTGGTATCAAGTATAGTTCTCCTAAAAACTGCCTTATGGAGTCTGAGTGACCTCCTGAGTATGTAACCACTCAAGTGGGTCTACTATTCAGAATCAAGCAGAAGTGCACGGATCCCGGCTCCAGGACTGCCCACAGGGGTCCACAAATGGGGCTTTGCCTTCTAGCTGGCAGAACCATGGACCTTGTGAATCACCCTTCTACTCTGTGATGGATGAGTCTGAACCTTTCTCAGGAAGAAGGTTAGTGGCAATAAATGCATTTGGCCAAAGCTGATAATGGAGCTGTCCTGGGTTTACCACCTAAGAATCTTAAATGATTTGCTAAAGGAAAACATGGTAAAATTAATGAGAGTCCATCCAAGGAAAGTTGCAAATGGAGTCTCATAACAGAATCCACACTCTACACCCATTAAGGGAGGGCCCGACATGCCTGTGATATTCTCTGGGGACCTTCTGGACCATCTGTATGTAGCTGGGGCTTCAGCAGGCTCTAATAAGTCATTGAGACCCTTTGTCAGACCCTTTGCCTAGCCCCAATTTCTGTCTTGTTAGACGGTTATCCAGCATCAGGGACAGCAGCCATAGCTTCTAGTAGCTACCGAGCATTCATCAGGGGCCAGGTGCAGTACCGAGCATGCTCCATCCAGCATCTCAGTGCCCTTTTAGAAATTTGCACCACACTTAGAACTGGGCAGCACAGTGTATCTGACACCAAATACCATCAAGTAGACAGTTTGAATACTGATGGCCATAACTCAGCATTACCGCATGTGGGAGACCAGGGGCACATCGGTACTCTGCTCAGATCTCTGCATCATTTCTTTTGCACCATTTCTATTTTCCTGGGCTGGGGGTGCACCTGTAGCTCTCCTGGGGAGGCGAGAGCCATCTACCCCCAGCCGTAGGCTGTGGAAATACTAAAGCCCAGCTGGCTTATCTCCAGTTGGGACAACTCTGAGGCATCATTTGCCCTGAAATGGCCCCTTTGCCTGGCTTCCTCCCTGCCAGGTCCTAACCCCCCTCTTCCCTCACTGGTATTCACCCTCCTGCCCCCTGAACACTTCCTTAATAAGTTACTTGCAAATGAATCTGATTTTAGGGTCTACTTCTGGAGAATTCCACCTAAAACATTTGAAATAATAAAAACAATTTTAAAAGAACAGTTGAAAGTCATCTCTAAGAAGGAATCTGCAATCAGAATGAGTTGGGAAAGCAAGAGTAGCAGGAAATGGAGTCCTCTGAACCAAAGCAACAATAGAAAGGCACTGCCTCAGAGCTTTCAGAATCATGTCTTTGTGTGGGGGACACTGATGGAGTCCTGGTCGGGCGTGAACACTGATGCACGGTGTCCAGGAGAATATGCCACCTTGAGGTTTACCAGATGACTAACTGGCATTGCTCCAGGCTTTCATCCATCAATTCAAGCAGAAAGAGGGGGAGATGTCTGCTACATAGAGGTGACGCATAGTAGACTTGCTGCTAGGAATCAGGTTTTCCATCCAAATTCCTGTTGAGAATATTCCATTGAAAGGTACAGTTGAAAAAGCAGTTATAATTCTTTAGCACATGACTCCAAAACTTGACTCCAGGCAATAACGATGAGAAGTGTCTTGGGGGGTCTTGCCACATCCACAGTTTCTATGCGGTACTGCTCATTCAGTGGATTTATTTCATGAGGTTTCTTCAGCTTATTTTATCTGCAAGTGTTTTTTTTTTCCTTTTTTTTTTTTAACAGCAAGTTCCAAAGTACAATAAGATTTTTGTCCTTTAAATTTTGTATACAGGTACATGTATTTCCAAGATTTCAGGCCAGATATCAGTGCTTGAGTGAATTATATAACTATTTAATAGAAATAATAAAACATTGATACAAATATAAAGACATAATCAGTATAAAAGGCTTATACTTATAAAAATATTTTTAGGTAACAGTTTTCCCCTGAGGGTTGACCACGCATGTTGCATCCATAAATATTGCTCGGCTCTGTAGCTCGTTTCCAAAGTTCAGAGTTCATCTTCAGAAGGAAGTGATGGTGGCTCCCGGTCATGGGACCTGGCTGAAGTGGCTGCCTGGGCCTGGCACCTGGGCTTTGACACAACGAGGAAGAGAACAGCATCAGTGGGGCCTCCGAAAAATCTGGAGAAGATTTTTTTTTTTCTTCCAAATATGGAAGATACAAAGATCAAGGATGACAGGCCAGTGATTGGGTCATGCGAATGGTGTGGCAGGTCACTGGTTTTTCTGGACCCAGTCCCAACTGTCTTCGTTCTCTTTCCTGTTCTTCTCAGCTTCAATAATTTCTTTGTACCTTCTGCGGAAGAAGCCCATCTGAAAGGCAGAGAGAGGAAGAGCCGGATTAGTAATGTTGGAGGATTGGCTGTTTTGATTCCAAGACATCCTGGCCTATGACTGACCCCCGAGGCCCAGGAAGTACTCCTCAGATGAGAAAACACACTGGCAAGTGAAGCATTATATGGAGCCACTTTTCAAAACGCACGGACATTCTGCTATCCTGTGGCAACCTGTTTGGTCCTTGAAACATGCTTCTGATATACTGTTTCCCAAACTGGGTGCTGGGGAACACCAGTTACTGAGAGTTACTCACAGGAGTTTGGGAGTAAGAAAAGGTCTGATGGTCAAATAAGTTTGGGAGATATCGCATCCTTTCTTCGAGAGATTTGCAATCTATAGTAGAAGAGCAGAGGATCTCTGGTGGGAAAGAAACCCAGGGGCCTAACATTTCCTCAGCTTATTCAATTTTTTTTTTCTGATCTAGAGCCTTTTTATTTTTTATTTATTTTTTAATTTTTATTATTGGTTGTTCAAAACATTACATAGTTCTTGACATATCATATTTCATACATTTGATTCAAGTGGGTTATGAACTCCCATTTTTACCCTGTATATAGATTGCAGAATCACATTGGTTACACATCCACTGTTTTACATATTGCCATAATTTTTGACGAACTTACCGATATCCTGAGAGTTATTACACATGTGTGGGACAATTTGACAAATAATGCTCTGATATGATAGGCTTTTGAAAGCATCTGCAGGTCCGCAGTCTGCCTTGCTGTCATCTAGATCTTTCTCTCATGCCTGTGGAGCTCATGGGGTCTGTGCAGCATCAGTGTGGACTCCCTAGAGCTGATTCTAGCTGTGGGGAAAAAACGGCCCCCTCCTCTGATGTCACATGTGGTCTTCTGACTTGTCACATATGCTAAGACAGTTTCCAGTTTTTCCTCACACTATCATCATAGGAACAATGGCCAAGCATTTAAACAACTTTTCGTAGAGCAGATCTCACCTTTTCTCCCATGCCCAGAGAGATCTGGCATCTCTTGTCCTTTGTGAACCAGCATAAGAGGTCTCTGTTTCTCAGGGCAGACATCCCTCCCTGTATCTGCCCTTCACCAAGACTCACTATAGCAGGTACACAAATACCCCAGCTCCCTCTTTCCTGGGCTGGGAGAACCCTCCTCAGGGACATATTCTACACATTTTCCCAGTGACACTTGCCCGCAGTGGTGGCCAGCTCCATAGCACACCTTTATTGCTTCCTTCCTGTCCCTGTCTCACTCCCCTGTTCCCTCAAGTGTTTTTTTTGAGCTCACTTCCTAAATAAATGAGTTGCATTCAAATTCTTATTTCAATGCCCTTGAATAGAGGAATCAAACAGTGGTACATACTGCTGCACCACAGCGTTCGGCTCCACAATATCATTTAGTTTGTAATTCCCATGGTCATATTTGAAAACCCTCGAGACTAACCATCTCTGCAATCTGCTGCCAACAGTGAGTGCAAATAAAAAGCCTGCCCTCAACAAATCGTGCAGCAAAATCAGTTCTCACAGGCACACTTAGCCTCTTTGTTGTGTGTGCACGTGTCCTCTAGCTTCTGCCTTATGAGCCAAGCATTCAAGGAAGCATCCATAGTCACTGAATTAGTCCGTTTTTTCCTTGCTATAGTGAAATACCTGAGACTAGATACTGGGTAAAGAAAAGGGGTTTATTTAGCCCATAGTTTTGAAGGCTGAAAGTCCAAAAGAGGGTAGAACCATTGGTTCAGTCTCTGGCAAGGGCCTCATGGTGAATGGGAGCCCATGCAAGAGGGAGAGATTATGCAAGCCAGACAATGAGTAAGGGTCAGGCTAATTCTAATAACCTTCTGATGAGAACTAACAGGCGTCCCACAGGAACTAAAACAGTTTTTTTCAAGGGCAGCACCCCCACTGACTCAATCACCTCATTAGGTTCCACCTCCCACCCAACATTTTTTTTTTTTTTTTTGGTATCAGGGATGGATCCCAGAGGTGCTTAACCACTGAGATTCATCCTCAGCCCTTTTTATATTTTATTTAGAGACAGGGTCTTGCTGAGTTGCTTAGGGCCTTGCTAAGTTGCTGAGGCTGGCTCTGAACTCATGATCCTCCTACCACAGCCTCCTGAGCTGCTGGGATTACAGACATGTGCCACCACGTCCGGCAGGTTCCACTGCTTAAAGGTCCAAATACTTCTTAACATTGTTATACTGGGGACCAGGCTTCCAACATATGAACTCTTGGGGAACACACTCATAGCATATATCCAAACCACAATAGTTACCCTGATAGTCACAAGTTCCCCCAAAGTAGAGAAGCAAGGTAGAGACTAGGAATTGCCTGGCTGTACCACCTCCCTATCATTCAGAAGGGGTGTCACTGGCCTAGCTGAACATGAGAACTGTCAAGAGGCTGCCAGGTACTTCCCACACTGCCAAAGGAACCCCGAGCATTTTCTTTAAGTGGAGTTGCCAAGGCAGCACAATTTGAATGACTCGGGGGAGCAGGGACAGAAGCCTTCTTAAAACACCTGGCCAGAGTCCCATGTCTTGAGCTTTAATAATGAGGTCATTTCTGTAAAGAGACACTGAATTCCTGGTGTCTCCAGCCCTAGAGGTTCCTTCACAGCATAAGAGCACATTCATCAGAACCCTACCTTCTGATGTCCCCACTCATACACTTTTCTCTCCTTAAAACTCAACCACCTTCTCTCTTCTGCAGGGGATGAGGAAAGGGGGCTTGACATAAATATTCTGGATCATTAGCAAAAGTTACCGGGTAAGGAACCAGAAATAAAGAGCAAGACTCAATGGGTAGATGAAAAGGTCTCCCTAAGAAGCGACTGCTGGAACTATTTAAAATTTTTTTTTTTTTTTTTTTTTTTAGTTGTCGATGGACAGCATGCCTTTATTTTTATGTGGTGCTGAGGATCAAACCCAGTGCCTCACATGTGCCAGGCAAGCACCCTGCCACTGAGTTACAGCCCCAGTCCTTGAACTATTCTTTAGAGATGGCGATGTGTCTAATTGGGCACAATTATATGAGAGGAATATACTCATGAAACTTAGGCTTATACCTCTGGCTGCTGATAGTGTAAAGTCTCAATAATCCCAGCTGACTCAGTTTTAATTGTAGAGAAATAACATATCCCTACAGTGGCATCAATCAAGCCAAATGGCCACAGGCTGCTCCCATGTTAGCTTCTGCATTTGTCTTAGGATTCCTTGATGGTAGGACTTAGATCACGCTGTCATTGGTACCAGTGATAAGTTGCAAAAATGCCCACAATCCTTCATTCTCTGGCATCCCTGCCCTTGACCATATATCTGCAGCTATTTCCAAGGGGCTCCTGACTTGGGCCCAACCTTGATTCTTCACCAAGGCTTGCTTTGATAGTTGGATGTGAGGGAGGTGTTGCTGTATCTGAAGCACCAAGGGGCCTCGCATACTTCCAGTTACTTTCTCAGAACGTTGCCCTGCCTCCCTGCAAACAGAGGGGTCCAGCTATTGAAAGATGAGCCCCCAGCAGAGGCCCTCCCAGACCAATCAGCCTCTGTTTGCAAGCACACGTGGGAGTTCAGCAAAGACTGAAGAGCTGCCCAGTTGAGCTGGGTCCAGATTGCCAACCATGGAACCATGAGCTACCTAGATGGATGCTGCTTTCAGGCCACTGGACTTTAGGGTGGCTGGTTATGCAGCAGAAGTTAGCTGATACAGAATTCAGTGATTTGTTGTTTGACTCACTGAACGAATTGGAGGATTCTAGAAGTAGAGGGCATCAATGTGCCTTGTCCTGCAGAACCAGAATTGTTCATCTTTAGGAAGGAAAAAAAATGGCTTACTTCTAGCCATGCTAGTGTAAGGATCTGCTATGGAGTATGTGAACCACCAAGTGAGGATTTAGAGCACTTACTTAGTCTAACTAGTGCTTTCACGTGGCTCTCATGTCTCATGCTTTTCTTTCCTTCCTTCTTCCTTTCTTTTATTTTTTTCTTTTTCAGTGTTGGGGATTGAACCAGGACCTCATGCATGCTAGGCTTATGTTCATGTTTTTATGGATGTCATTTTTGTTTCCAACACAGTGAAGGCTCTGTCATCTCTCATACGCATACAGAAGCAAGCTCTCTTCTCTTAGTGGAATGACGTTGGCATTAGGCCTGAACGCCCCAGCTGGCAGTGCTCTTAGAAAAAAGCTTTGTATGGAGGATGTGGGGGGAAATATATACTCATACATTGTTGGGGGGGGGGAGACTGCAAATGAGTACAACCACTCTGGAAAGCAGTATGGAGACTCCTCATATGGAATGGAACCACCATATGATCCAGCTATCCCACTCCTTGGTGTATATCCAAAAGAACTAAAATCAGCAAACTGTGGGGATATAGCCACATTGGTGTTTATCGCAGTGCAATTCATGATAGCCAAGTTGTGAAACCAGCTTAGGTGCCTGTCGACAGATGAATGGATCAAGGAAAGAAATATGGCCATGTACACAATGGAGTTTTACTCAACCATGAGGAAGAATGAAATTAAATCATTCGCTAGTAAATGAATGGAATTGGAGACTATCACGCTAAGTGAAATAAGCCTGACTTAGAATGTTGAGGGTCGAATGTTTTCTTTCTTCTTCAGAAGATAGAGAGAAAGGAATTAACAAAAAAAAGAGAGGGAATCTCATCTCATGAAAACAGAAGGTCAATAGAGTAGATGGGAAAGGGGAGGAACAGTGGAATGAAATTAACCAAACTATGTTATGTGTATGAACATTTCATAATGAATTTCACTTTTATGTATAACCATAATGCACCAACACACACACACACACACACCAGAAACATCCTTGCAAGCTTCATATTTCACTCTAGCACTGAAGGGTCTCAAAAGAGTCCTGTTCCCAAACAACCTCCATGTGACCTCTTGGATGGAAGATTGTTGTTGCTGCTGATGTACATCTGTCTTTGAAACCCAAAGATCATTTCTCAAAATAGGGTGCACTCTTGTGAG